ACTGTCCCCGAAGGTTTGAGACTGTAACTCTTTCCGAGAGTAGTCTTTCTGAGGAGGAGCTGCTGACGATTTCAAACTGCTGACCTTGAGGTTTAGCAGCCCGATAAGTAACCACTCCCACCAGGGCTCCTTTCTTTTTGAAACCAACAGCCCTAGCTTTCTCCCAAGGTGCAGCTGGTGGGTTTGAATCACCCACCTTCCCATTCGCAGCGGATGCTTAGCCACTGTGCCACGACGGCTCCTCAGCTACAGGCACAAAATAAAAGCCAGGAAGGTGGTTAGGAAGGGACATTTCTTTCTTGAAAGTGGCATTGAGTCTCCCCCCTCCATCACTCCCCCCTCCGAAATCTTCCTATCTAGTTGTTGCCCCCGCTCCCACTGGTCTAGGAAAGAATCATTCAGGTTTCACATCCTACTTCTAATCGGTGATAAATGCAGATTGAAGTTCAAGCGGAGGTGTTCAGAGTCAGACTCCCCAAGTCTGCTACTCTGGCACATAAAACTGTTGGTAGCTCTGGGTCTGGCAACATTTCCCATTAACCTCATTCGATGTTCCTTCCTTGAGAATGTTTCATCAGAACCTCTTTTTCTGATGCCAACAGAGATGAACTGCTTGTGATCTGAGCTCTGAATTGGATATGTGTGCTTCTAGTTTCTTCCCGCAAGCTATCACAGGGTCGTCGCCGAGGGTGAATTCTGTACGGGTTTGTACTGGGTGCAGAGCCCCTAGGAGAGAGGTCGTTATGTAGCATTTCTTTGCCTTTTTAAGTGTCCATTTGGAATTGAACTGGCAGTCTCCCAGGGACATTTGAGTTCCACAGACGAAGTCCTGGGTGCAAGATCTATGTAGTACAATAGTCTTGAATGGAGTATGAAAACATTTTCACCTTTACTAGAAAAGTGCTTGAGAGAGAAGAATCCATTCTTAACCGGCTAAGGTATATTAAGTAGAGAGATCAGGCTGTTCATGGTGTTGAGATATTTTTTCAAAGGAGTTTAAAATATTTAAAAATATTAAAAAGGTTGAACATGTCCCAGAATCTCCAGGACCAACAACAGTTCTACCCATACGGGAGACATGTGTGCTGTAGTTTTCTGTAGGTCCTGACCCATAGCGACCCTACGTGCAGCAGAGTGAAACACTGCCTGATCCTGTGCCGTGCTCACAGTTGTTACATTTGAGGCCATTGCCATGGCCACTGTGTCGCTACATTCTTTTGAGAGCCTTCTTTTTCACTGTCCTCTACTTTACCAAGCATGGCGACTGAGAGTTTATTGTGCCAGCCTGGCTGATAAATACAAGTGGGATTAACTGAAGGGCGGAGAGATAAATGGCTCAGTGAGCCTCGCCTTTCTTGTCTCTTGCCCTTTGATCATTGGACCAGTGTGCAGCTGCCTTGCTTGTTCTGTGCCTCAATTTACAGGCTACACTACCTGTGGGACACCTAGCCTGTGGATTGTGTCACTGTAAGTTGAGGTCCCTTTAAGACCACATGACTGAAATTTACATCTCTAGAGCTGGGGACTGACAGTTGGTGACCTGCCTTGCTATTTGCTGCTGTGCTGATATAGCCTAGCTCTCTCTACAGAGGAAGACCTGGTAGCCCTCAAGACTTGAAGGACTGCTAGTGTCTCACAACTCTCTCACGGAAGTGAGTTGCACTGAGCCATTTGTACTGCTTTATAATTTAACTGTTCATTTCTTATATCTATCTATCATCTACCTATCGATCTATCTATCTGTAACTTCACAGTTCATTTCTGGTGTTATACATCTATCTTTATAAATAAATATGTAAAATTATCAGCAATCTGGTTTTATGTCTCTAGAGAACCCTGTCTTCTCTAGGGATTCGTCTCTCCCGATAATATGTCCACAGAAAGTGAGATGATGACTTGTCACCCTGGCCTCTAAGGAGCACTGGCTGAACTTCCCAGACAGATTTGTATTTCTTTTAGCAGTCCATGGTACTTTCAATCTTCCTCGCCAGCAACACAATTCAAATGCATTAATTCTTTGCTCTGACTTTCCTTGTCCCAACTTCCACATGCACGTGAGGTGATGGGCACTACCACGGCTTGGGTCAGGTGCACTTTAGTCCTCAAAATAACATCCTTCCTTTTCAACACGGTAACGAGGTCTTGTGCAGATTTAGACAATGCAATGTGTTGCTCGATCGCTTTACTGACTGCTGCTTCCATGAGTATTGATTTGGATTTCACCTTGCTTGGAGACCTGTACGTAGTAGTTTAAGTGGTCTGACATGGCCACTGAATATTGAAATTGTTGTTAGCCAAGGCTGACGCAGTCTGACGCCAAACTGCCTAACCCACGATACCAAAAAAAAAAAAAACCTAAACAAGAAAAAACTAGTCACTTGCTCCCAAAGTTCTTAAATTATAAAATAACAAAAGGCTACAATTGTAGGGAACGCCCTAAGTCCATTTTTATGTCTCCACATAAATTCAACCTCTTGAATTTTTTATGACCAATAACCAGCAAAGTGCCTGGCATTGCCCTCAATGGAGTGTGTTTCAAAGTGGGTTACTACCACTCCCTGACCAGTCCAGTGGGGAGCAGCCTAGCTCTTGGGGACTTACTTGGCTGGGTGTGCACTGATGGAGCTTAGGTACTGGGGTTGCATTAGTGGGTTATACTTTGGTCTGATAGCCACGAGTTTGGTTGTTGGAACGCACCAGCTGCTCTGAGGGAGGCAGAGGAGGCTTTCTGCTCCGGCGAAGATTCATAGCCTCAGAAACCCAAAGTGAGAGTTCTGTTTGTCCGGTTGGGTCACTGTAAGTTTGAAAGGACTCAATGGTGGTGAGCGAGTACGGGTGGCATGACTGGTTCGGTCAGAGACCCCTGAACCGATCTTGTAAGCTCTTCTCACATAATAACGTGTCCCAATCACGGTCCCATTCCTGCTTCTGTAGTCCCACCCCACACTGTGGGGGCATTGATCTGCTGCCAGTCACGCTTTTATGATGCTTGTCCAACTTAAGAGGCTGGTTTTCTGTAAATCCTTGGGCTCCATTATGGCCTTGTGCAGGTGGTCTCCTTTAGCTGAATGAATTACCTTTGTCCCGTTTACGACTTAATACATGTTCTCCGTAATTATTTTTGAGATCTGGGATCTCTTTTGTCCCCTACAACACCTCCTGGTCTTCATCCGGAAGCTCTGTGGAAACCAGGTCAACCTCACAGCCGCATACACGCCTCCCCTGACAGACACTGGTGGTTGTGGTTGAGTGTGTCGGCTGAACCAAGACCACTGACCTGCCACTGTCCCAAGCTGTTGAAATTACTGTTTTTCAAAAAAGACTAAAAGAAAGTCAAAATCTAGAGAAAAAAAATGCAGACATTTTAGCCTTCTTTTGGGTGCCCTGGGAGTGTTTGTTGGGTGCTCAGGAGTGTGCTGGAGCTTCCTTGAGCCCAAGAGCCACAGGAGCGAGTCAAGGTTAACAGTGGCTGGCCCCAATCCTGCCAAAGCAGGTATACTCCCGACCTGGCAAACTCCTGATGTGTCCCATTTCCAGACTTCCCTGGCCGGTGTTTTAAGCTGTCACCTTTAACCTACCTTTTTCAGTGGTGAGTCAAACCGTGGAACACGAAGATTGGGTAAAGCCCTTCTGTTTTGTAATATATAAACTCAGGACCACAGGCCAGGCCACAGGGATCACAGCCTGGACGCTTGTCTTTCTTGTTTGAATGAACCACTCTTCCTTCCTTCCTTCTCAGAACAGAACTTCATGTTTTGAATTCCTGCGAAACCTCTCAGTACACCCAGAGAACTCAGGAAGCACCCCAGAGCGAGACTACACTTGGCAAAAAGGAAGAAATGGGATGTCTGTGAAGCTTGCAGGCTCAGCTGCTCAGAGCTGCTCTAAGGAATGGGACCTGGGAACTAGAAAAAAAAAAATTCACGTGGAGCTGACAATAAGTATTTGCATTTGAAAGAGCTCAACAAATCTGCAGGACATCTGAAGGTCAGTGGACGCAGGGCCCCAAATGAACAGCCCAGCAATCAGAAATCCAGATTTTCAGGTCACCATCCATTCTCCTTTCCTGAGCAAACAGTGCCCCATCTCCGCACTGCCCATCTGTGTCAGTGGAGCTGGCCACATCTCCTGTTTAGGGTGGGCACTGACTGATACCTGGTATGTCAACTCATCAATAACAAAACCAAACCCTGTCTGGTCCTGGTCATGCCCAGACGCCCCTGCCGACTAGACCATAGTGCTGGACAGGGCTCTCTTGGGCTAGTTGGGGTAAGGAAATCACCAGGCTGTTCTTCCTGGTCTGTGACTCTGTTAAATTGTAGATTTTGATTCAGTCTTTCGGGTAGACGGGTAGACATGCAAATTCTCAGCGGGGCTCAAAACAGAATGAGGGAGTGGAGAGTTTCAAAGACAACTCTGCCAGTGATCTGTGAGAAGACTCTGCTGGAACTTCTGAGCAAGACACTTCCTCTGTTTGGAAGCAAGCTAGAGCACTGCTTTCTTCTTTTGGCCAGTGAGGGCTCTGGGTACAAGTCTTGGGAGGAAGGCAGTCAATTTGCCACTGAAAAGAAAGCCCTGCTGAAGGCAATGCAGCGACGCAAGAAGGGAGGAAAAGGTGAGAAAAATTAAGATCAGGCGCTGGGTGCCATCAGCCTGGACCCCAGGGACACTTGCCCCTGTATTTCCCAGTCACGGAACCAGTACATTCTATTGCTGAAGCCAGGCAGAACAGGGGCTCATGCTCCTTGCTTGTGACCATGGTTTCCGCACCAGCACGTGGCATGTAAGATGATGGAGCATGTTTGGACCCACTAATCTGTGTGTGATGCACCCAGCAGGGGCCATGGTGAGGCCCGCTGTGTTCTGGAAGGACTTGTCCCAAGAGACACAGTACCACGCAGGTCTCTTCGCCTTCGCCTCTGGTCTCTGCTTTCCTTGAAGCAGTCCCAGGGCACTCGCATTAGGGAGGCGGCATCAAGAACAGAACACAGAAAAACAAGCCAGGTGTCAAATGCAGCAGATTTTTAATTTGTTTCAAATAAAGCAATATATGTATATATGTATATATATATATATATATTTCAGAAAAACACCAGATGTTAAAGTCTACAAAAGCGCATGTGTCTTCAGCAGATCATGTTTGTCTAATCATGACGAACTTTTTTTTTGTTTTGTTTTGTTTTTTGGGGAACATTAACTCTCTAAAGACAATCAATGGACCGACATCACGCTACGACATAGGTTTGCTGCGGAGCCTGTGGTCTGCAGCCGCCTCTCGGTTTTTCTAAGGATGAGTAAATACTGCCTGGCTAAATGGTCTCCATGTGGCAAAGCGTCAACAGGTCAAGCAAAGCCATGGGCGTTATGAAGCAAGCGAGCGCGGAGGATGAGAATTAGTACACGTGGGCAGAGAGGAGGGCGCGGCTATTCCGAGGGGCTCTCCTTTGGCAGCGGATTGGGCCAGCACCTCGGACAGGGAACCGGTCCGGCGGGCTGCCCCCTCCCCGCTCAGGCCACCAAGGTGACGGCGGGGACCGAGAGGACGGCGGCCTCCGCCGAGACTTCTATCCGCGTGGGGCACAGGTTGCACTGCGACACCCGCGCCACGTTGCCCCGGAAAGCCCTGGCCTCCGGGTGCTCGGCGGGGTGCTGCCTCCGCCGGGGCTTCTCTGAGTGGGCCGGGGCCTCGGGGGCCTCTGGGTGTTTGGGGCCGCCTTTATTTTTGGGGCGGAAGCCGTTGTGCGGCTGTCTTCTGTGTTCGTGGCGGCTGGTGCCTTTCGCCATCGGGTCGGCTTCATTCCCGCCGCCCTGCGGCTTGGCCGACCCGGGTAGCCTGTTGTTATGGTACTGTGGATTAAATCTTCGTCTTTGGCTATTAGATCCATTCTGCCAAAAGAGAAAACAAGGTCATGTAAGATGGGTTGCAGGGGTGGGGGCGGGGGCGGGGAGGCAGTTCAGGGACCAGCAGGAGGCAGGGAAAGGAAGCTTCATGTTGGTGTCTCTGGCCACATGCAAACAGGGCCACCATGATAATGTCCTCACTCTTGAAACAAAGATCTGATGGGCCTCAAGGACATGGCTGATGTCGACAGAGGTCACGGAGCGAGTGGTTGCTATTGGGTGCCTTGGGATCCATTCCAACTCACAGTGACCTTGCAGGGCAGCGCAGACTTGTCCCATATGATTGCTAGACTGTAATGTTTTCAGAGGAGCGCTGGGGAGGCAGTGCTTGAAGGCCTTGGCTGCCAACCCCAAGGTCTGTGGTTCACACCCGCCACCCGGTCCATGGGAGAACGATGGGGCCGTCCACGTCTGTAACGGGGGCGAGAGCTTTGAAAGCCCTGTGGGGCAGCTGCACTCCATTCTAGAGGGTTGCCAGGAGCTGTCTTCTTTTTAGGGAGTGAGGGTGGGGGTAATTTACACGGAAGGCAATTGACAGGCTTCCACGGAGTCATGGAGTGGTTTTGAACAATCAACCTTTGGTTAGCAGCTGCGTGGTTGATCGCTGAACTGCCAGTCCTCCTTTGCAGAAGCATGAGAGCAGCAAAGTCAAGCACTAGGTGTACTAAAACCACGATCTTTCAAATGTAATCAAATGAAATGTGAAAGAACTTAACATTTAAGGGGCAGTGCAATGATTCTCAATCATGGCAACTTCTGGGGCATTCTGTATACTAATGCTATTTTTACAAGGGCCACTGCCATTGAATCAATTCAGACTCACAGTGGCCCTATGTAGGGCTCCCAAGGTTGTCAATCTTTAAGGGAGCAGAGAGTCTTTCTCCCTCGGAGCAGTTGGTGGGTTCAAATCCCTGACCTTTTAGTTAATAATTAAATGCTTGCCCAACAGCAAAAACCAGACAGTGCTATAGGGATCCTGATTATGCACATGAAAAAAAAAAAAAGCTTCACTTGGGAGTTTTCTTCTCTCCAGCAGTTTTTCTGTTTCATTTCAAAGCCTTATCACATCTTACCACAGCTTAGGCAGAATCTGCTGGGAACTAACAGGGACGGACGGCAGCTCTGGGTGGACATGGAGGCAGCGTGTGTGTCTTCAGAGCGGACATTGTTGTGACGTGTCACTGCGTGAGCGCTGACTCACAGTGATCTCCCGCACAGAACACAACCCCGCTCCGTCTGGTGCCATCCTCACAATTGTTAGGGTCTGTGCCCGTCCATCTTCCTGAGGGGCTCCTCTGTTTTGCTGGCCCTCTATTTTACCAATTATCACGTCCTTTGCTAGGGGCCGCCTCTCCTGGTGACATGGCCAAAGTATATAAGACAGTGTCTGGCCATCTTTGATCCTAGGGGGCATTCTGGTTGTACTTCTTCCAAGACAGATGTGTCTGTTCTTCCGGAAGTCTATGATCCTTTTGATGTTCAACACCTCCATTCCAATACATTGATTCTTGGGCAGTCGTTCATATTCATTGTCCAATTTTCACATGCATATCAGGCAACTGAAGCTACCATGGCTGAGTCTGATGTACCTCAGTTCTCAAAATGGCCCCCTTGTTCTTCAATACTTTAAAGAGGTCTTGTGCAGTAGATGTGCCCAATGTAATGCCGTGGCTGCTACTTCCATGAGCGTGGATCGTGAATTCAAGTAAAATGAAATTCTTGGCAATTTCAATCTTTTCTCTGGTTAGCCTGGTGCTGGCTACTGGTCCAGTTGTGAGGACGTTTGTTTTCTTGTCACTGAGTTGTAAAACATTTGGGAAGCTATAGTCTTTGGTCTTCATCAGAAAGCGCTTCAGGCTCTCTTTGCTTTTAGCAAGCAAGGTTGGATCAGCTGCAGACGGCAAGCTGCTAATGAGCCTTCCTCCAACCCCATGCCGTCTTCTTCTTCTGTCCAGTTTCTCTGATTATTTGTCGGCACACCAATTGATAAGTATGGTGAAAGCATACAACCAGACCCACCCCGTGCCTGATTTTAATCCACGAAGTCTATATCATTGTTCTGTGCAAATGACTGCCCTGTTCTATGTACAGGTTCTGCGTGAGCACAATGAAATGTTCTAAAATTCTCATTCTTTGCAATGTGATCTATAGTTTGTTATGACCCACAAAGTCTAACACATTTGCAGAGTCAACCAACCAGACGCAAACATCTTTCTGATGTTTTCTGTTTCTGCCCCAAGACCCATCTGATGTCAGCAACCCTCTCTGTCCCCTTTGGAACCTGGCCCTCGAACTTCTGGCAGCTTCCAGATGATGCGCCGCCGCAACCATTGTTTAAGGATCTTCAGCAACATCTCCTTGTATGCAATATTAATGATATTGTTGTAGCATTTACACATTCTGTTCCATTTCCTTCTTTTGGAAGGAAATATGGATCTCTTCCTGTCAGCTGGCCAAATATCTCAAATATGGATCTCTTCCTGTCAGTTGGCCAGGTGGCTGTCTTCCACGTTTCTTGGCACGGCTGGAAACGTTTCAGTTGGTGTTCCATCCAGGTCTAAGGTGTTGCTTTTGGAGAAGGCCTTCACGGCACCTTCAGTGTCTTCCCTCCAGACCCTGCGTTCTTGAGCACATGCTGCTTCTTGGAATGGCGACAGACAGACCGACTCTTGTTGGTATAGTGGCGGTGCGTATCTCTTCCGTCTTCTTCTGGTGCTTCCTGCATCATCCAACATGTCCATAGAGGAAGTTAGTTCACTGTGAACGTGTCTTAGCTATTGGATTCTGAAGCGTCTTAGTGATTCAGTCATTCCTTTGGCAGATCAGCAGCAGGGAACAGAAGTGGACTAATCTTGTCTGTTTCTATAGAAGCGGAAGGTGTCTGCAGTAGGTAAGGGCAGTAATTGCCAGCATTTACTGCGTGTCCACAGTGACCCGTGCGCTGAGCCAGGTACTTCCACAAATCGTCTCACTTATCCACTTGTCATCACCATCACCCTTTTAAGGCAGTTGCTATTTTTATTTGCTTCATTTGACAGATGAGGATAATGACTTTAAAGGATTTGCCCAAAGTCTACAGTGAGAAAATAGAGAGGCGCCAATATGTCCACTTAGACTGTTTGACTCCAATGCCCGGCTGCTCTTATTTTACATAGTATGTCCTGCTGAGATTCAGAAGTCTTTATTTCATTCTCAGGTTGACTTGTGAATGAACACAATCTTTGAAAACCAAAGCTCTGTCATTAAATTATGAGTTACAAATATGAGGGCAAGTCCGAAGGTACTGCTACAAAATCACAGAAACCCTTAATAAACACAAACCGCAAACTGTGAGCCTGTTTTCAGCCACATAGTCCACCAAAGTCTATATACTGCCAAGGCAGCGTCTCATCTTTCTAACCCTTTCCAAAGAATTCCACGCTCTTAATGACACGAAGTCAAACTGGCCATTTTGGCATCCTCGCATAACTCAGACTGTGTTCCCTTGAAATGTTTTCTGAGTTTTAGGACCAAGAAGAGGCTGGAAGGGACAAGGCTGGGGTGCAGGGTGGATGGGGTACGATTTTCCAATAAAATTTTGTAGGACAGCCCAAGCAAGTATGTCATCATAATAGAAAAAAAAATTCCTGGGCGTAACTTATGTGCTTGGCCTATTTCTCTCACTCATGGGGTTTTTATTTTTCTTTATTCTTCATAATAAGCATTTATCCTTTGAGAAAGTCCATGTGGAATCGCAGAAAACAGTTGCCAGGCCTCTCAGCTGACCTCTGCGCCTTAACGTGCAGTGTCCCAGCAGCTACTCTTAGAAGCCACTGTTCCGATTGGCCTTTCTTCTGAAAGTACGCTTATGAGACTAAGGTAAATGCAGTCCCCAGAGGCTGTATCTGTAGCCAATCACCAGTCACAGTGACATGTCTAAACATGTTTTGTGTGGAATAAAGCTGTGCAGGCCTGAACTGGACCTCTCGAAGCCACACCTCTGACATTCCCTTCTAGGCCTTCCTGCAGATGGGGAAGGCCAGATCCCATAGCAAAAGTCATCCACTCTTCCAGTTCTGTGCATGGTGTTGGGGTCCAGGGAGGCAGGTTCCTGGCCTGTGATCCCACCTCTTGGTTTCTTCCCATCTTTGGCTTTGTTTGCCCCACATTGGGAGGGGCCTTGTACTCATGAAGGTGGGCACTCCCCCCAGCCTTCAAACCTTGGCTTCTTCCCACGCCTGGAGACAGCTTTCTGGGTTCTAGGGGCGTGTAAACTGGTAGCAATGTCTACCTACCGTCAAGATGCTATGTCTAGGGAAACGGTACATTAAGTGCCTGAGAATAGATGTGGGCCAAACGGAACGGAACTCAAGGGCTACGGCTCCCTCTGGAAGGGCCAGTGCAGATTCTGGGTGGTTGGCAGGTTCTTCGGTGGCACTGAAGAACAGGGCCCAGGGCCAAGGTTAACTTAGATGCCTCAGGATTCTAGTCTAGATATGTAAGTGTGCTTCAACTTAAAGGAGCCATTGCCTAAACCACTTCTCTGGCAATGGTGAAACAAGGAGCTGAAAGGGTCCCTGTGTAGGTTGCCTTCTACCTCGCCTCCTTTGTTTCCAAAGGCACGGTGACTTGGAAAATTGTAGGGGAATTTTAGACTAAATTTTGGCTTGATATAACGAGCAAAGAACAAAGGATGAGCAAGTGCATTTACACTATGAGGAAAACAGGCCTGACTAGGGCATCAAACCGACGAATACATGAACTCCTCCTCCTCCACAAGGTGCTTTTGTAAAGCTCACGGAGACGTTCAGGGCAGAGACATGCCTGCCATGCTCTGGAAGCAACCACAGACCCAGAGGCTGGGAAACCAGCGTTCTGGAATACCGAAAGAGACATCTCTTCCTGAGAGATCAGGAAACGTCTCTTTATAGCATCACTAACTCCTAAGACCATCAAGTCACACTTCTCGTTTATATTTGACAGATGTGGGGCAATCCCTTCAAGGATGCTGAGGAGGAGAGAGAGAGAGAGAGCGAGAGAGCGACTGCCCTTTGGAACTGGCATTGTCAGTGGTCACAGATGAGGTCCTTTTCAAAAGTAACCAGACATCTGAACTCACTTGGACTTCTGACAAACTAAATATAAATGGGAATGAAATTACTTTTTAAAAGAAGAGTGTTAGGATCTCCCTCACTAAAACCCCAGTGTCCAACTTCTGGGTCTTGATCCCTCATCTCTGTGAGCCCCTGCCAAGTGACAGTGTTGGTGGTGGGGAGGAGGGCAGTCTCTGGGACCTGCAGATGGTGGTGGTCAAGGGCACAAGAAGAGCTGTCACATCTTTAGGTGGACTCTGCTATATGATCAGGAGTGCCTGTGGGCCACTTCTTCCATGTGGGTGGCTTGCACTGTGCATTAGCTGGGGCCAGGGCGTGGAGCAAGCCCAGGCAGGGCTGTGGGAAGTGGACCACCCCAGGGTGCTCAGCATCGAGCAGTCGCTAGCTAGTGCTGTGTTCTTCGTCCTGGAAGGAGTGTTTCCTGCTGACCCCGCAGACTATTGGCTGCAGGGCCCTGAGGCCAGTGCTAGGTGTGGTGAGCAGCTTACCTGCTTGTTGGCTGGCATGGGCTGGTGAGAGGTGTCCGGGCTGCTGGGAAGATTGCCCGCCATTTTCAGGTTGGCAGCTTTACCCTCAGGGGGCTTGTTGTGACTGGACGATTTTCGGGCAAAGTTACTGTGCTTCCCAGAGTCTGCGGCGTGAGTGTTGAGCAGAGGGAGCAGGGAGCTGCAGGGAGTTCTGGAAGAATAACTGTTCTTTGGATGCGTAACTGCAATGAGAACGGGTCTGGTGTTAGGGGCTATGTGAAGAAAAGGGCTTTCTGAAAGGTGCCGTGTGGAAGGGCACCTTGGGGCGCAGAGGCCACCCCATTTCTTGTGTGAGAACCACCGTGCTGTGACTGCAGCGGAATCATCTGAGCTGAGGGCTTAGATGCAGGGATAAATGCAACCAGGCAACTGTCATACCATTCTTTGGGTCGAGAACCAATTCAAGCACAGAGGGATGATGAAGGTGGAGGGCTGACCTCTGGCCCTGCCCGTCACTCTGCTCTTGGGAGCCCCATGACCAAACCTGTTAGGCTCTATCCCAGTTGGGACTGCAGAGACCCAGCAAGAGGTCCTGGCACGCTGACCTGTCAGTGGCCCCTTGTCCCCAGAGCATGGGGATGGGGTGGTGTTGGGTGTTAGGAAACTGCCACCCTGGGCTATACATACCCTGAGACAGGACCAGGCCTGCCCACTCCTAAGCCATCCTTGCTATTTCCACCAGAACTGCATCAGTAGCAGACAACCGCACCCCACCGACCCCCGCTTTCTACGCCCTCATTGCAAATCTGCATCCACCCCACAGGGTAGGTAATCCAGGGAGGTCCCGCCGGGCCTCAGGGAGGTCCTCTCAATGGCTCTTAGTCCCAGGCCCACTGGCTTGGGCGGGAAGGATCCCTAAGTGATCACGCTCCTTGGATTACTTCTACGTGACTGTGGGGCCAGAGGGGACCCACACAGGAGGAAGTCACAGCTTCCTTCAGATACTTACCCAGAAACGGACCACCGGGCTGGCCAGCAAGGCCATCCCCCAAGCCTGCACATTGTCACCAACTTTAAAAAGCAATTTCCTTGGCCAGCTTTGGGTGGATCAGACCTAATCCCAGTGTTTCTCTGGGGGATTAGGGGCGGCCAGTGTGGATCAAAGCACCGCCACACAGGAGAAATGGAACAGATCTGGGCAGCTCTCCCGCCCCCTCTTTTTATAGACAAGACATGGCAGCAAGTCAGGGGCTGTCCAGATATCACTAGGGGATTTGGGCGACTCTTGTATTCACGGGATTCGGTTTTATGGGGTCACTACTTCCTTCCTATAGCTCAGAGACGACTATTTCCGGCTTGGGAACTGTGGCCCTTGTTGTCTGGGTCCCAGCTGTGAGCTCCTAGGAGCTCTCAACAAAGCAAAGCGGAAAAGGGCCATTAGAGGCTTATCATGGCCACGGCCATGGCCACGGCACAGCAAGGCTGCCTTTCATCGGGGCCACCAGTACTTCGGAAGGGGACAGCTCTCCCATGAGGCGGCACTTCACTTCGACTGCTTGGAGAAAGCAGGGGAAGCTCCACCCCCCAGATCAGTGGCACAAAGTCGCGGGGCATTAACGTCCTGCTCATCACCGGGCTGCACTGGAAACGAGGAGCACTGGCGTTTCCTCCCGTGAGCCAGCCTGTCTGGTGTCTAGAGACGAGGCAAAAGCAGCCGCTGGAGAATGGCATGTCCCCAGCCTTCTTCCTAAGGGGAGGAGCGTGGGGTGGGCGGAGTTAAAAAGGAGACCCTGAGTTTGAAAAGTCATGCAACCAGAGGACTGCCAAGGCTGGCTGAGCACAAGTGCATCTGTGGCGGTGTTGTCCTTCATGGGGACAAACTGTCAGCCCTCTGGATGCCTGCAGTCGGGGCTGGCTGCCTACGTGACATGTAAATACAGATGGGTTCAATATATGGATACGGAAAATGCGAGAAGAACGGACAAGGCTACTCTCTCCAGAGGGTGTCTCGTAAAGCAAACGGTGGCATGTAGGATGAGAGTATGTGTCCACATTTGATACACGGTTGACTTGGGCGTTTCTGTGAAAGGACTGTTGACATGTGCTGGAAAGGCTGACGGACACACAAAGCCCGATCGCACTGGACACAGCGCAGTTCTGCTGTGTTGGGATCAAGTGTGTAGGCTCAGGAGGAGGAACGCTAAATAAAAGCAGTGTCCACACTTGGGGGGCATGGGAGAGGGACGAGGAAGAATACAACCCGACGTCTGTATGCGGTTGGAGACTAGGCGGTGGTGGCTTCTCCTGGTCCCTCAGTCCCACCTTCTCTGGTGGGTGGGCGGAAGGAAGTGGGGCCCATTTGGTTGTCTGTTAGCTGCTCTGATTCAGGCTTCACAGGGAAGCACAGCCTCCCAAGCTCTGCAGCCTGCCTTCCCCACAGGGCGCCCCCCGAGCAGCCCCACACCAGCCGGGTCCTTCACAAAAGCAGACTGTTCCTCGACTGGCTCCGACGTCTCAATCTGGGGCAGGTGCTGCTTTAAATCTTAGAGTGACCGGGGCCACATTTCCAGCGACTTGGGTCCTGACCTCTGATTGGTTCGTCCCTGTGGACCTTGCTCAAGAACACCCCCCCTCCCAGGAGGTGGCCCACTTGCCATAATTTACCCCAGCCACTCCGAACAGTGTATTGCCCTTCCCCCCCTCCAAGGAATGATTCCGCCGTCGTCGGGGAAACTCACTTTCTCCACAGAGCATGATTTGGGCCTTCAGCTGTTCAATGTCACAGGAGAAGCGGGCCGCCTTCCCGAGCTCTTCGTCGTATTTGCGCTCGCTGACAAAGTGCTGGGGGAGAAGAAGGGAGACAGGGCCCAGGGTCAGAGACCACCACTCACCCAGGTGGGAAGTCACTCCAGCTCGGGCCCAGCAGGGCTCTATTCCCTGTGTGGGCTCAGAGAAAACTGAGCTGGGGACAAAGTGTGTGTTTGGGTCCAACTCTTCACCTCCTCCCCTTCATTCTGAGTCCCCGGTGGTGCTCACAACTACCGAGCTGGCCCGCTGACCCTGAGTCGGAGGGTTGAGTCCATCCAGAGGCCTGTTGGCAAAAAAGCCCTGCCGATGTGGGCTGCTCCCACCTCTCAGCCACCGGCAACCCAGGGCAGCCATGCGTCAGAGTAGAAGGCCACTGGCACCCCAGTCCTGTTTCCACAGCAGCAGCACGTGGTTTGCCCGTATCACAGTTTGCTTTAACATGTCAGTCCGCGTAGACGACCCCCCAGAGCTTTTAAGCTCTAGAAAGCGTGATCTCACATGGTGGAGTTTCTAGTGCTGCTATAGGTTGTGGGAGAGATTCTACCCCCTAGCCCCCAGTTCATTTAAAATTAAGATCTGGGTGTGGAGGACCGAGTGAGACATACAAAAATAACCATGACCCAGTCTCCCCCTGAGTTGACCAGGGCATTAACCACATGGCGAGGGAAGTAGATCCATTAAATACAATGTGGCTGGTACGGTAAGAATAGGAGAGAGAGAGAGAAATTACTTCCTCCTGAAGCGAATGGTGACAGTTGTAGAAGGGCTGGACTATGAAAGGGGGAAAAAATGACGACCATTGATCACTGGCCCAAATCTCTGCAGGCATTCTCAATTTTCATCAGATTGCCTTATTGTGAAGCCAGTGCTATTATTCTCTCTCTTTTATAGGTGGGAAGTGATTTATCCAAACTCATAGGAGCAGAAAATCTGGGAGCCGGGCTAGTTCGTCCGAAAGCCTGGGACAGTAACTAGCCGATGACGAGTGGGGTTTTGATAGGCAGAAATGAGACTGGACAGATGGGTCGCAGTCAGTAGACCAGGAGGCGGGCAGCTCCCATTCGTCACTTGGTATCTTAATAAGCCGGGAGTGTTGTTGGAGGGGAGACTGGAGCCCAAGGGGAGGTTCTGATCAACGGGGCAGAGTCACCACATCAGAGGAGACGGATCTACTTTCCGACTCTGGTCTTGGGGTGGATATGACAAGGCTGGAGGAATGGTGGCGGCAGGAGGACCTGTTGGCAGTGATTGCAACTGTCGGATGGACGGCAGAGGGAGGAGAAGGAGGGAGGCAGGGCAGGGAAGAGCTCTCGAACATCTCAGGAGACGTCCTCTTCCCCGGCCCAGCCAGGATGGAGGGGGCCAAAAGTCATCAACAACTTCCTACCATGACCACTCAGTCCTTTTTTTCCCAACCCCCCACACAAGCTTTTACTGGCATTTCCATTTAAACATGACTTCCTTCCGCCCGAGCACCAGTTCTTCCCGAGGGCATGTGGCTGACAAATGCCCCCTGTGGGGGTTATGGGTAACCACTCAGTCTTATGCCCAGAGGAGCACACCAGTCCCGCTTGTCTAGCTGGCAGCAATGTATCTTGAAACTACTCTGGTTCCCTAGATGTTGGAGTGTGTGTGTGTGTGTGTTTGTGTGTGTGTGTGTGTTTGTGTGTGTGTGTGTGTGTGTGTGTGTGTGTAGTGCATTAGAGAAGAGGAGGAGGAGAAGGGGACTTTTAGAAACCATGACTTACTATTTTATTGTCGATAGTTGGTTTTGGTCTCCTGGTACCTATTTCCCCTTTGGGTGCCTGTGCCCTGGTCCAGTTTGGAAAACCACTCCTGCTCCTTTGGGTGTCGGCTTGGTGGGTGTGCCAATCAAGAGGACACCTCCCGTCTCTTCATGGATATGCCCCATGTGGAGGCCACTGCGTGTCTCTCTCTCCCAGGGATTCAAATCGTGGGAGGCAGCACCAAGGTGGCTGATTCCTCCGGAGGTCACGCACATGACCGTGAGTGCCTGGAAGACCGTGCTCGGTAAATATTGCTATCGAGGCTACCCAAGGAGCCCAGGATCACGGTGAGTTGTGTACTAGGCTGCTAACCACGTGGCCAGCAGTTTGAAACCACCAGCCATGGCAGGAGCAAGCGGAGGGTTTCTTCTGTGAAGGTTTAGAATCTCGGAACCCCACTTGGGGACAGCCCTGCTCTCTCCGACCGGGTCGTCAGGTGTCAGAATTGGCTCCATGGCAGTGAGTTTGGTGTTTTGGGTGAAGTTACCCAGGTCACCCAGGTTTCCGCCTCTTGGTGGACTCGGTCCTTCACACCACACTCTGCCCTGATGCGCTCCAAGCATATTCTTTCAAATGCTACTTGATTTCAAGGTGAGTCAGTTTCCTTAGCATTCGTGTAAGAAACGTAGAAAGTACATACTTGCAGCTACTCTTCTAAACAAATGGACAAATGACCTATAGAAGAAAATGAGCCAGAAAATTCCACAGGTTGTGCATGGCTTATCATCTTGACCATCACACTACACACAGACTTGGTGTGTGTTCACGCGTGTGTATTGAGACACAAGTACATTACTTAACGTGGAAATACTATCTTCCATGCTGGTTACAATCATGGTGGAGTGAAGTTTACTTGGGTCATTGTCCGCCAACTAAGAAAATAGCTCATACCTTTCCTCTCCTCATATAATAATAGGTAGATCCCTTCAAACCTTATAATACTCAAATATAGTGATGAGGCGGTTCTTCACCCTTCTGTCTTCTCCATGCTAACCTCGTGGGGGTGAGGGAGTGCTGGGTGCGTGACGTGAGATGCTCAGGGCATGACATCCTACAGATGTGAAACGGACACAATGGGAATGTGACGCCTGGCGCGGGAGTCAGGCTGTGACATGTTAGAACTGACCTTAATTTCTGCCCTGAGTTCGGCCAGCTGCATCTCCGCCATCTGACTGGCTAGATCCGTGAGTCTCTTTAGTTCTTCGGCTTTCTTCTGACGAGCCGTCAGAATTTCCACTGCCAAATAAGAAGGGACCAGACATCAGGGCCAGAGGTTTAAGCATATTAAGTGACTTCACTTCCTGGAACCAGTTCTCCGGCCACAGACCGACTCTTTGTTAGAACAGGACTAAGCTTTGTGAGTTGGGTTAACGCTTCACGTGTGGAATCTGGCAACTCATTTCCCTATGTCCTTATCTGCTGACCCCCCCCTCACTTCCCTACCCCCCACCCCCCCTGCCACGATCCCTCAGCCTCGCTGTCCGCCCGTCCATCTTTGTCATTCCCTTCACTGGCCTCTGATCCTACCTGTTCAATCTAGACGTTTGAATCTGTGAGTGACTGAGAACAAGTAAGCTGGGACAAAAAGACACTTGTTGAAATCCTATTTGAACTTGAAAAGATGGGGGGGTTCACGAATGAAAACAAATTCTTTCTGTGTGCCCTGTACGTAAAAACCTACCGGCAATAGACCTTCAGAGCCTGAACACATACTGAGTTACTGGCAGAGTTGTGCTATTGGAACGTGACATAAAATTTTTACTTTATTAGCATTTTGTGAGTTAAGTAAATAAACAAAGCAGCACCCCATCCTGCCCCCAAATAGTCTGCTTTGGAGCCTCTGTAGGTATGTTTCTATTTTGCAAACAGAAGTTCCGGCCAGAGCATTTTATGACTTAGTTCTAAGTGTCCCCAGTGGAGACATTTCACGAGTGAGTCAAAGCCAACTTGAACTGGATTGGCGTATGCTTGTTAGCATCTGCACATGCAGAGAGGACACCCAGGAGCTCTCTGGCGCCATCTTTTTTCACATCTGTCAGAGAAACTAAAGGTTCAAGGAGACGTAGTAGCCCACGGGTTAACGTGTATGTCTGTGGGTGTGCTGCCCCAGAGATTTTTGAACTCAGAAGCAGTGAGTGAACACAAACAAACAGGATGTGATCTGTATATGCAGTTTGACCTTCCCATAGAGAGACGTGCGGTTCTCGAATTCAAGTCATGTAAGAGTTGCCTTTGCTTTCTTTGGGCAAGGGCTTGACATAGTAAAAATCTCATACACCACATATATCAAATCCACATTGCATTATTTGGCTGAGCCCAGATCGACGGATTCCGTAGACCAGATTCATGGGCGAACTGAGAGCCAAACCATAGGATTCTTGAATTTAAGAGTTATTTATAAAATGCCCCAAAGTAGTCAACTCAAAATTGAACAGTCAACTCGCAAACAGGAAAAGAAGGATCGAATGACTCAGCCTTCCCGGCAACCCTAAAGCACTCTCCAGACAGGCTGAAAAAGCGTTGTGTGTACACTGATGGCAATGTGATGTCAGTACCATAATTAATCTATAAATCATAAAGCCCAGCCATCTGCCAAACCTCTTTAATGAAGGTTTGATTATTGACCCAGGGCTCCCCGGCCTCCCATTTACAACACCATGTCGCTGGGCAGAGACGGATTTGGGCCTGGCGGTCTTTCAGAGTCCAGAAGAGCTAGAGGAAAACTTGGCCCCATCACGGGAACATAGGCATTTTTTAGCCGAACACAGTGTGTTACTGAGTGGTGTCCCGGGTCACTCAAGTTAGACCCTGAAAAGGTGGCTCACACACTTTGGGGCAGGCGGGACATGTGTCCTTTTTGGACCACTCGGGGTTAAAAAAAATTTAATTGCCCACACCAAGAAATCAGGAGGAGATTTCATTTGGAAGCTGGAGTTCTGGCTTCATTTCAATGCTGGGATCGCAGGCCACATGGAAGCACCAAGCCAGAACAGAAGGGCTGTTGCCCTCTTGAGAGGGATACGGTGCTCCGTGTACCCACCTGCCCTGTTCAGCACAGTTATGTCACTGATGGTCAGCCCCTGGAGGCATGACCAAACACTGAGCCAGAGGCCAGACTATGTCACATAGTGCTTCGTACCTACAGTGCCCAATGCCTGATACATAGGTACCTAATGTGTCTGCTGAACGAAGGATTGAATGAGTGAATGAATAAATCTATCTGAAATTAAATGGACTTAGAATACAATAAAAATACTCAATGGAAGATATAAATTCCTTTTCTACAAGAGCCGCTGAAAAGATATCTTGGATCCGTGCTGCTGATCAACTACTTTCCATTACAATTGAACACACGGGGAGCTAAAGTCTGGGGCACGAGAAAACTATTCTTGAATAGGAAGGTGCGGAGAAATGAAATTGCTTGGTCTGGCTCTTCTATGGCTTTTCTTTGTTGTTCTCATGGGTGGAAACATGCAAATAGAGTGTAGAGGATTCTTAACTTGGGGACTGGCCAGTTTTACCATTGCCTGTGGATAGTCTCTGCCATTTCAGAAAGAAGATCAGCGAATCCCAAGAGAGTCAAGAAAAAGCCACTGGCAGAGCATGCCTGAGATCTTGGCAAGCAGTGGTGGCAGCAGCGGAGGTTGAGGGCTTCCTGGCCCACAGAACAAGTAAAGCAAGTGCCTTCAAGCAGGAGGCAGGCTTGCAGAGGGGGCACCCTTTGGATAGTTTTCTCCCTTCAGCACTCATGGAGTTTTACAGCTTCCCTGAGCAGGGCAGAGGCGAAGGGGACACCTGGCTGAGAGGCTGAGAGAGATGTGACTGCCAGCATGGCTGAGAAGAAGAGCTGCAGACAAAAGAACTGTATCCTTCATGCTTTCTGATCCAGACTTGTAACCTATTAACTCCTCTCAGAAAGCCCCTACCTGCAGGCATTGTCTGTGAGGTGTGTGTGGCCACAGAATACTGAACGTAGGAGAGAAGCAGAGTGTCACGGGAGGGTCAGTTGGATCGGAACAGGATAAGAAGGACGGGGAGTGGAGGCAGATCTGACCTCTGCCTTGTGGCAATCAGCCTTGGGCTGGAGTGGAGTTGGATTCCCCATCTCCTTACGGAAGCCCGAGGAAGGCAGACGGGGCTTCCACACCATTTCCTCAGAAGATGAATCACGGTGCTTTCGCTTTGTAAAGGAACGATGATAAAAGCCCAAAGTGCTAAAGGTCTGGATTAGAGGATGAAAGGGGTCAAGAGTTTCGGTCCCAGGAGGTCAGACCTCGAGTGGCTGCTCAGTGAGAGGCTTGACTTTCCCGGATGGATCCATTGTGGCGCCTGCGACGATGAAGGCTAATTGTTCTTTTTGATTAAGCAGAACTTGGGCATTCACATGAAACAAAAGACTTCACGGAAATCTATGTAAGTGGGCCCTAAAATAAGAATGCAGGTGCAAGATCACCAATACATTTCGAGTTGACACACATGCAAATGTACATGGAAATGAACACTTTGCATCAGCAAGTCTGGGGATGCATTTTACATATACTCTCATTAACATTTCAAAGCCTTTCATTATGAAAAAGCCTTAAAACTTCAGAACCAAAGCAATATTCCTTAGGGGGGGGGCTTCTTTTTTTTTTAAATCTTAAAAACACCAATCACAGTAACAAAAAGCAATCTTCTCCCACCCACCCCCCAAAAAAGCAGACGAGCTCCTAAGATTCATTGAACAGATAACTGAGAAGAGTGAGTACTGGTTTTGAAAGCATCGTCCCTAAAGGAAATCTGTGAAGCGAGACTGTATCTTAAAGTTTTAGATTTTTCACTGCATTCAAGATGTGGTTAATATTAGTTAAGTACTTTGATGAACAGTAACTAGTATGCTGAAATGTACTTTCTCAATAGGATTGATGCATTCTTTCACATTTTAGGGACCCGTTGGAAGCTTGTCCATATTACTTGAACCCTAAAAAAAAAATTCTCAGGGCTTCTCGAACAGCATCTCATAGCAGATTGTGTGCTCAGAATCCTGGGGAGACGGGGAGGGAGGCAGACAGACCAGAGTCAAAGTGGGTCTTTAAGGACGTCTCAAAAGTCTTTTTAATCTTTCAAGGTTCTTGTGGATTTGGCATTGTACATCATAATCTATGTGGTCCTTGCTATTATAGGAAGTAATAGTTTTCCCACATCTCTAGTAAATGTGAGGCTCCCAGAACACACCCATCTAGGTCCTCAACCCCGCAGGCACACCGCCTTTGAGACTCCAGCACTTCACCTGCCACGCTTCCTCCTCTGTAAGATACAGGCACTCCCAACCACACACACACACTGTGGGGCTCCATGATCTAATGTGTTTAACGTCTGAGTACAAGACACTCAAACCATGCTAACTACAGATAGTGAGATATAATCATCCGCAATATAACTCCTCTTCTTCTAATTACATTAGATTATTTACTTAGATGTGACAGGATAGAAGCTAAATTAATTATAATAATGAATATAATCAATATTTACAAAGCGCCTACAGTCTTCCCAGCATTTCCAGATGTGCCACGAGGGACATAGTAGCTCAGGTTATAACTGAGGAAACACAAGCGTATACCATATACAGGAGATGGAGAATGGAAAAAATATTCTTTATGTTTAACAGACATGGCTTTGACAGCAGTATGTTCAGTTCAAGATTGTGTGTAGACCAATGGGTCTGGACTTAGAAGAAACCAAACACATTTCCCTTTCCCACCATCCGTGAAGGGGTGTAGCAGACATACCACTTTCTCCTCTGTGACCTGCATTTCTCACTGTGACCCAGAGGGGTTTGGACCAGTGTATATACTGTTCACTTTTCGTGAACATATTGTATGCTTTCTCATTTAATCGTTACTCCTTGAGCTAAGTACTATTCCCTTTCTGATAAGAAACCTCAGACATAAGGAGACATTAACTGTGGGGAACAGAAGGAATTCTCTTAAGTTGTCTCCCCAAAATATGTACCAAACTTAGCTGCTTAAGAGTGACTGTCGGCAAAAGTAGGTCAGAGGTTATTCTCCTTAACATTGGCCATCTATAGTGGCTAGACTATTAGCCTGACTCACCCTAAATAAAGCCCATTCCTTTCTGTTATTGTTCCCTCGAAGCAGTGCCCATAGGCAAGCCTGAGACCACTCTAAGATGACTAAGCTTAGCCTACTATCTTGCCACACATGCCTCCCTATTCCCTCCTCTTACTATTGCACATTCACCCCTAGGTCATCCCCCTCCTATTGCTTGTATTGCCTATGTTAATATCCCTCCTGGTGACTCAGGTTATTGTCCACTATCAGGGAACTTGCATG